CATGTCAGGGCAAAAATTGGACAATATCTACCTCAATAATCCCAAACATCAAAATGTTCTTTCAGTGGCGGCTCCTTGCTGGTGGAATGAGCTCCCAGAAGTGTTCAGGGCCCTGAGGGATCTCATACAGTTCCACAGGGCCTGCAAGACGGAGCTCTTCCACCAGGCTTTTGACTAGGAGTCACCCTGATTACCACCAACGAGCCCAGCTCTTAGCCTAACATCTGGCCTAGACCATCGTGTGACTCAAGAAGACCATGAGCTGGATTGTCTGCTCGCAACACTCTTAGTATGCCATCTCAATTATCTAATGATGGACAATTAGCACTTATGATTTTATGACTTATTTGTATCTAAATTGTTTTAATGTGATTTTATGTGGTTTTATGTGGTTTTACTGGTATTCTGTACCAACTGTGTGAGCCACCCTGAGCCTGTTCGCGGGGAGGGCGGGGTACAAATTGAATAAATAAATAAATATAAGAACCACAAGATTATTACCTATAATAATAAAAAGATCCAAATGTCCATCCATCTGTCCATCCATCTGCACATTTGTGGCAGGCAGAACTCATCAGTCTGTCCAAAGACCACAAGGCAATGGTTCTTTCCTCCTCCATTTTATCCTCACAGCAACCCTGTGAGTACAACTGACCCAAGGAAAGTATTATGGCTGAGTAAGGATTTGAACTTGGGTATTGCCTATCTAGTCCAACTTTCTAAAGCTTCTAAAGATTGTACCATACTGGCTACCTGCCTTTATAGGTCTCTCTATCTGCCGCCAATACCCAACCATCTTTCCTTTTATTCCTTCTCACCCTTTGCATATATAATGGATGCCTTCTGTCACTCCAGTTAAGAATATAACTGTTTCCCACAGTGGACAACTTGATGCCTCTGGGAAACCCACAAGCAATGTAGCCCTCTCATGATGTTGCCCACCATGGAAGTGGTCTTCAGAGGTATACTTGGGGCATGGTGGTTTCATTTAGGCAGCATCACTAATGGCCATTGAGAAATGTGGTGGTGGAGGTGGTGGTGGTGGTGGTGATGGTGGAAAGTGTCATCAAGATCCAAATGTCCATCCATCTGTCCATCCATCTGCACATTTGTGGCAGGCAGAACTCATCAGTCTGTCCAAAGACCACAAGGCAATGGTTCTTTCCTCCTCCATTTTATCCTCACAGCAACCCTGTAAGTACAACTGACCCAAGGAAAGTATTATGGCTAAGTAAGGATTTGAACTTGGGTATTGCCTATCTAGTCCAACTTTCTAAAGCTTCTAAAGATTGTACCATACTGGCTACCTGCCTTTATAGGTCTCTCTATCTGCCGCCAATACCCAACCATCTTTCCTTTTATTCCTTCTCACCTTTTGCATATATAATGGATGCCTTCTGTCACTCCAGTTAAGAATATAACTGTTTCCCATAGTGGACAACTTGATGCCTCTGGGAAACCCACAAGCAATGTAGCCTTCTCATGATGTTGCCCGCCATGGAAGTGGTCTTCAGAGGTATACTTGGGGCATGGTGGTTTCATTTAGGCAGCATCACTAATGGCCATTGAGAAATGTGGTGGTGGTGGTGGTGGTGGTGGTGGTGGTGGTGGTGGTGGTGGTGG